CGACTCAGATGTGCACTCGCATGGCAATATCATATAATGCGTCTCGTCTCGATCGTGTTCTCCGAGCCTGCTTCGTACAGCACGCAACTCGTTGTATCATCGTACCTGCCGCTACCGTCGGTCCACCTACTACCTGCCTCAAGTCAGCCTACTCCAAGACAACGGATTTGAGTCCATCCCCAGTATGCTCATTCGCGCGTCCATAGCTCGCGTGAAGCACGCCAAACCGAACGCGGGGTCTTTCGCCTCCCCGGCGCGGCTACATCAAAGCGGGGCTATTGAGGCTGACGAAGCATTCGTCCTCGCTGCAAAATGGAAAGGAGCGTGCAAGGCATGCCAAGATCTTCGAATCCCGACGTCTGGTATATGAGATACCGTGCGCGGTGCGTCCTCGCGCGTGGTGGGTAACTGCGTGCGTTCTCGTCTTTCCACCCAACTATCGTGTTTCCAGGCTGAATCGAACCTGGCTCTTCCGCCGGTTCGTCCGCGATAGCCCGCCTGGATGTACACTACAAAATCAAGCTCGAGGACATGCAGGTCAACCTCGCGGACTCCGGCATGACGCACTGCATCGGCGAGGCAGGCGATGACGAAGAGAATGCGACGCTAATCTCTCACTCAACAAACTGCAGTCATGGCGCCGCCACCGTTACGCGTAACATGAAGGAAGTATCGCGCGCTTATTCGACTACATCCCCTACCGTCATGCGGCCCGCATCAGCAGCCCGCAATCCAAGGAGAAGCGACGGACGGGAACGTTCGTCCGATCCTATCCCGGTCGATAACGGCACCACTCGATTCGGATCGAAGGGCACTCGAGATGTCACCCTCGTCCCCAAGGGCTCGCACCGACTACCTCTTCTCTTCTCCCCGCGTTCTGGGTCGACTACCGTCCATGGGCTTCTCCGAGTTGCAGTTGAAGACCATGATTCTGCCTGGTACGTATTTTCGTCCCAGTGGAGGCAAATCGTTGCACACATCTCAACCTGGCAGCCGCCTCAAAACAATTCGGGACCGGTGAACTTGTTCGCGACGCGCAGGACGTCGAGGCGGGCGCGATGGCGACTGGCAACGCTGCGGAGGTATCTGTGGAACGCTGCCACTGCCGAGAACCTCAGTTTTCGCGGCTAAAGCTGAACGCATTTGCCCTGGGTCTCATATCGGAGATGTTCATCGGGAGCGCATTGTACGACTGCTGGGTGTCATGTCCCTTGACGCACGGAGACGTGGGGATTCAGACCTAGATACAAAGACTTGAAGATCGGTCTAGATCGCTTATGAGCAACGATACTGATAGAGCGTGAAGTCGCGGACGACCAGGATTTTTTTGCTCGATAAGCTGCAGTGGGTGTATGAGATTTTACATCTCGAGATCGGAAGGAATCATGCTTGTCGCCCAGATGGGTACCAACTATTCCTTCTCATATCATGACTACGGTGCCAATGCCCGAGAGTCAAGAGAGAGACCTAATGTCTGCTATCCAGTCCCTCGTCCCAGCATCGCCGTTGCCATGTAGGGGAACCGGCCACGCGCAGTGCTGTACCGCACAATAACACACATCAATCGACATTGATCGAATTTCACAGGATGGTGCACTCACATACGTAGGTGTACTCCAGGCAGTAACGGACCCGTGGAGCTTCGGGTCAATGACGGGTGCACGGCCGAGGATCTTCGCCAATATGCCATTCACGAGCCCTAACGATCGCCCTGTATTCACATTGGCCAGGATGTGTTTGATCACCGCCGCTTCGCCCTCGTTTTCCTCAACTCGCGGATATATCTCCCCCAAATCGGCGAAGACCTCGACGGCCTCGACGTCCCGCCTCCCGCTCCGATCACCGGCCTTCGCACATCATACGAAACCCGGGCTTTTGAATCGCGGCCCCTTCGGTCTCTCCTGTTGCACGCTATCCTGAAGCTCGCGATGTCATTCGCACCCGAGGAGCAGAGCACGCCGGTGACGAGCAGTCCATACTTTCATCCTCGGTGCATCAGCGCTGCGCACACCCGCGTGCGGTCGAGCGCTCGGATTCGTCGCAGGAGCCAAAGCCTATGACAGGTGATTTGACGACATCGCGCAACTCGGGACCTATTCAGGTGAGGATCAGTCTCGGCGAAGAAAAAGAGGAGCGGACGCGGCGAAGAAGAACCGGAACATACCTTTGAAAGGCGCCTGCGTCGTCGACAAAGCCCTAGATATCCAGGCCTGCTTCGGGTCGGCATCACCCTCGAAGGTGCATAGCGGCGCGTAAACGACGACGTCAAGCCGACTGTTGAAGTAACGCGACTGGAGAGACGAAGTCAGGCTGACGCAATTCACATGCTTGGATGAGACGATGCGGGCATTTGAGAAGAAGCGCCGGTTCGCAGTGGGATGCATTTACGCTGCCGTCGATCATAGACAAGAGCGATCATGGGCCAGTTGGCGTTTTATGATAACGCACGCCGTCCGGAGGAGCGATTGAGGCTGGCCGAAGGGGCGTGAAGGAACACTAACGCGGTGCTTCGAGATTTGCGATACCTGAAACGAGTGTATGCGCGTATCAGTGTCAATCGTGATCCATAGATGTATACTAGAAGAGGGAGCAGGTTCACGCAGCAAGGATTCGTGAGCACCGGAGCGGGTGCAAGAGGATGATGAGAAGAGAAGATGCGGACGCGTACTCACCTCAGTTAACCATTGGGAAAGAGCATTCATGAGCAAGCCGATACGATCTTCGTAGGGTTCGTCGAGGGCGTTGATGAGGAAGAGAGGCCGATGTAGAGCCAGGCCGGTGCGTTCGTCGTGAGGCCGCCTACGGAGGGTATGCCTATATGCGCGCGTCAGCATCCGTGGACTTGGGTGCGGGTACAAAGGGCGGAGACAATGCAGGAAAACGTACCGGGAGTGGACGCGCCGCCGGCCGCATATACTCCCATTGCTCATGCGGGACGGTATGGCCAGCCTCCCGCATACTCCGTTCGACAAATGCCTGTCCGGTCTGAGGGTAGGCGTAGTCGTCGCAGCGTTCATACCCGTGCCCTAGACTATTCGCCTTCGGGCGAAGCATCTTCATGTCCAGAGGACGGGCCGCCATGCCGGTGGACTATGCTGAGGGAGGTATGGTATAGGCGAATGATGCGGAGGTGAGATAGCGGCGGCGATGGTGGCATGACGCTAATGTTTGTATACGAAGTGGTATGAGGAGGAGGCGCACGAGAGGGCGAGAAGGCGACGTGCACATGTTCACAGGCAGACCGTATCGCGTCCGGGGCCCGGGCATGGCTTTCGGAGCGGAACTTGACTTCGGTGAAGGAGAGGAGAGCGTAAGTACGTCGTTCCCAGGCGATAGGTATGTAGATGAGGCTCCTAGTCTGGGACGGCCCTACGATGGCGACGCGTGCGGGAGATCCGAGGTCGACGCGTTCTTGGGCTCTGGAGGTGTCCTGGACCAAGTAGGATGGGTGTCTGATCAGTTTAACTTTGAAGCCAGAGCGAGCGGGATCAAGATTTCGATGCTCGACTGCGATGGCACACAACCAGGTGAGTGAACGAACGTCGTCATTCCGCGCAAAATCGAACACGCACACTACTGTTATCCATCGACTATACCTCGCGCCCGTCCTCGTCCCTATATCGCCCGGTGCGAGTCTTCAGTTTTATCGGCGTACGTCCTGATGTGCGACCGTGGCAGAGAGTGAAGAATGGCGCGCCACCTACCTACGCATCTTACCGTGCTCACCTTCGTGCTCTCTAATCTACAAAAGCCTGTCAATATGGTGCCGCTTCTTCTTGCATTTTAATCTCTGAATATTCTGTCGCATGAATGAAACTCTCTGTAGCCGCGCTTTAGGGCGTCTGTGTACCTTCCAAGGCTCTCGGACCACGCCCAATGATCAAACTCAGAATGCTATCGCCATGCTTGGTCGCATGGTCTCGCTTGCGGCCGCGAATGCCCAGACGCCGTTTGTATACTGTTCACCCAGCGGGTCTCCGGCGTTAGGGCGCTGAGAACAGACACTCGAGGTGTTGAGATATCTGTCTGGATTCCGCAAAGGGCGAGCGAAAACATCCTGACCGGGACCGCTGACGGCTATGTGCATCAAGAACGGCCATCTCGGTCCATGCTGCACGCACGGCCGTCGACACTTTCAAGTATGTTGTACCCTTTTTCCCCTGTTAAGCAGTAGCGCACGGTGCTTGCTCTGTTTGACTCAACCATCTGCATGATAGAAACTCCGCCTCGCCTTGCAACCCAACCGATACGCCAGATATCATACCTGCGGGGTCCACGACCCGACCGAATGCAGCGCAGGCACGAAACATGGTGAATGACCGCTTGCGAGACCTCATAATGTTCAACGCGACTATCGGTTTCAAAATCGGTGCCAGCGGAACGCCGGCGCAGCCCGTCACGTATTCGATGAAGACTGAGATATGGCGGGAGCAGTGCAGGTGCGCAATGATATCTCGTTCACCGAAGATCGAACGGCGTACTGATGAGCAGTGTCCCGACACCACAAGGGCAGTTGCATGTATTCGCGGAGGATTGTAATCGGGTGGTGAGTATCGCTTGGCGGTCACGGCGCGTTACATGTCTGAGTCGTGTTCGCCATCCTAGATGAGACCGACACCAGAACTGCGCGCACGCGGACTTTTGCCAGAGCCGTTATCAAGCGCTTCGTCACGGAGCCAGCCAGGCACGCGGCTTCGGTACGCACCTGCTCCTCTCATGAATCCTATGATCTGCTCACCGGAGGCCCTTTATCACGCAGGCGATCGTCTCATATCACCATCGCCTCTGTCCTACTCAAAGCAAAATAATCTAAGCAGTCGGAGGTGGCAAAGCGTGCCTTGTGCGGCTCCGCACCGGCTAGGCCCTCGTCAACGGCCGATACCTCACCTTTGCCGACGCAACTTCCCGTCTACAAAACCAACCTCAAGGCGAAGGTAACCTCTCGGGGCGAGCACGCGATCGGACGGGTCGACGCGAGTCGGGCGCGTATATGCGAGTGGTGACGGGTGGGTAAGGCGGGTAACATGGGAGCATGTACGATCGTCGTTGTGCCCGAGGACTACATCAGCATTCATATCGTACGACAAGTATTTACTATCGGATTTCATTGATCAGCACCGTCGTCTTCGACTTGTCTTTCCAGCTAATATCACTATATGCGCTAAACACGACGTCTGTAGACCCCGGCACGTCACCAATTCAGGTCAACCATATTCATGAAGATGTCCGGCCGTACTGAAAGTTGGACAACAAGATACCTCTCCACTCCACGATATCCAGTGAACCACGCACCGGCCCACTCAGGATGAGCTCTCCTCGTAGCACTCGGCCCACTTCTCGCCGTGAGCAAAGTTGCTCAGATCAAGCGTGGTCACCGCACCCAAAGCTATGATGGTTCGCCTGTTCTGCGGTCTCCATATGTCACGATTCTGAACCGGTATCCAGATCAGGCGCCGATCGTCAGGTCCCATGACCCAGCCGTTGTCCTTCAGCGTGAACGAATCGTCGATTCTGAACCGTGACATCTGTTCAGCGCCAGGGACTATGAGCTGAATGTCGGCAAGAGCGTGATCCTCGTCTGGCGAGAACGATGCGGACTGCGGTTGGGTTGAGACAGCGCAATCGTCTACTACGCCGGACAGCCAGTGTGAGTAAGATCAAGTAAAACGTTGAGGTGACGCACCCCGTAGTCCCTCGACATTGTCAGCCTGCCCCGTCGAGGCATCCCACAACCGGATCGTGTCGTCGTTGCCGCGTGATATGATGCATTGGCCATCCGATGAAAATGCCACTGTCTCGACGCAACTTGTGTGACCCCGAAACGGCTCGCGAATCGCCTCCCCGGTGACCGCATCCCAAACGCGAACTGTACCGTCACGTCCGCCCGAGGCCACGCAGCGTCCGTTTGGCGAGAAAACGACGGAGTTAACGCAATCGTCATGGCCACGCCAAGGACCGCAGATCGTCTGTCCCGTGGCAGAGTCCCAGATCCGAATGACGCCAGCGCGGTCACTGGAGACGAGATAAGCGCCATCTGGCGAAAAGGCAACGCAATATACTGGTTTGGTATGCCCCTCCAATGGTGCGCATACAGTCTGACCTGTCTCGACGTCCCATAGGAGTATTTTCTCGTCCCATGCGCCCGATGCGATGCACTTCCCGTCTGGAGAGAATGCAAGGGATGCGACGAGAGCAGTGTTCCCTTCGAGAGGTTCCTGCGAACGCTCCCCGGTGGAGATGTCCCATACGTGTATAATCTCTCCTGAGCTTGACAATGCGATATACTTCCCGTCCGGAGAGATTGCTGCAGGGTTTGGCCAACGGGGTCGAAAGGTCGGAACTTGGAACTGGCGAATCTGTTGACCGGTGGAGACTTCCCACACGCGAACGTTGTCATCCTCCGACCACGACAAGACCTGGTGTACATCGCGTAAGAACGCAATGTAGCGCAATTCGGCGGTCCTTTCCGGCCAGTGCTGCGCCTGAACAGGCATTCCCATCGAGACATCCCACACACAAATGTCCTTCTCGTGCCAAGTAATAATACACTCCCCATCCGGCGAAACAGCTATACCGTCGCCCAGGCCAGCGTGTCTTCTGACAATGTCCTTCTCAGTGCGTCGGGTTGAAGCGTTCCACACGCGTACAGTCCTGTCCTCTGATCCGGAGACGATGTACTGGCCGTCTCCCGAGAACGCCACAGAGTTCACCCTGTTGGAGTGACCATGGAAAGTCGTGCAGAGGGCCTGTTCTGTCGTGTCCCAGAGATGAACAACACCATCTACAGAACCGGATACAACGAATTTGCCGTCCTGGGAAATCGCCAACGCTGCGACATCGCTAGTGTGGCCCCGAAGAGGGGACCCGATAGGCTGGCCAGACTTGGCATCCCACAGCTGCACGGTCTCGTCGCCTGACGCAATCCATTTTCCATCCTGCGAGAATGCGACATAGGATGTATCGGATGGATAGCCACGCAATAGCTCGTGCACGAGTGTTCCCGTTATGGTATCCCATAAGCAAATCATTTCGTCTGTTGAACGTGAGACCACCCAGTTGGAGTCAGGCGAGAAAGCCACGGAAACCACCCGGTTCGTATGTCCCTGGAGTGGTGGATGGACAAGCTTTTCAGACTGCACATCCCAAATACAGACCATCATGTCACCCGAGCCCGACACAATCTGCTTGCCGTCAGGAGAGAAAGCGACCGTTGAAACATAACCCATGTTCCCTCTGAGCGTGTGGATATGCTGCCCTGCTTTGGTATTCCAAACCTGAATCGTGTTGTTGTACAAGCCCAGCACTATGAAGTCTCGCTCCGAAGAGAAGGCGACGCACTGGACATTACTCTCTGTACCACAGTGCACAGGTCGACGGGCCGGCTGTCCAGTGGCCGCATCTCGCACATGTATAGTGCAGCCTGATGACCCGAGCGAGACAAAGAAGATGTGTTTTCCATCGCCGGAGAATTCCGCACAGAGGACGCGGCCATCGCAGTCCATGGTGCATTCTAAGGCGGGCCATTCTGACGATCCACCGCACACCACCGTAGCTCTTCTGGGAAGCTTTGATTCGTACAGCCGCCGCACTTGTGACCTCGTCGGTGCAAAAGGTATGGCTGAGAGATAAATGTGGGGAGCAGAAGATCCGATCATCACCCCAAAAGCTCGGAGGAATTTCAGGAAGTCCTCGATGATTGAGACCGTTTCCAGTCCTTCCGCAGTATCCTAAGGGCAGAATACGTATGTGAGCCGCACGCGATAGATGTAACCAATGAAAAGACCTGCCCGAGGTGTCCACTGTTTGAGCTTCAGGAGTGCCGACGCGCAGGTGGAAACAGATCCTAGAAGACTCAGGAGCTCGAGCCAGAACAGGAACTTGACTTTCAGCAGTTGTTCCGCCATTTGCAGCAGGCCAGAGCCGTACGCAGTCTCTTTGAGATGATCGGCCCAGTAGCGCGTGGAATAGACCAAACTCAACGGGATGTTCGTGCGTACACGCTCCTCTAAGTCATGGTATTCCGTGTTGAGATCATAGGACGTCTCGAGTCCGCACATGTTGATGTGCAACTGCTCGCTCAACAGAAGACGTAGGGTCCCCCGCGCGAATTGTAGATGCTCCTCTTTCCCTGGCTTGACGACAAATTCGTGGCTGCGTTTGGGATCTAGAATGAAGTCTCGAAACGACGTATGCAGAGGGCGCACGACGACGTCCAAGCGATCGGTTCCAGATAGGAGCGATCCCATTCCCGCGAGTACCCCTTGAATCATATCTGGATCCAGGTTTGCCTGTCCATTAACGATATCCTGCAATGCCGAGATGGACAGCGGTTCGACCGCCGTCATGAGGAGACTCATCACCCGATGGAAATTCTCCATGACCTCGGGGTGCGTGGAAGAGAAGGTGGTCCGAAGGACTTCTAAGTACAGCGTATCAAGTTGGCCATTAGCGGTGCGTTTGCCATCGGATGGTAGAACAAGTGCCATCCGTTGTTTGATGGTCAATGGGGGAGTTTTTGCGGTCAGGAAGCGACATGCTGTCGCAGCCCACTGAAAGAGTCCCTCGGCGGCGCGGACGAGATCGGCGCATATGGTATCGACATCATGCACTTTCGAGAGGGACGACAGTTGTCCACGGACATACAGCTGTATGTCGTCCTCGTTAGCGGCCGTCCCCAGTACGTAATTCATGGATCGAGCATGAACAAGAGGCGCGTCCCGAATCACGTCCATGATGTCGGGCTCTGGCCTACAGGTGATGAGGATGCGAACGTTGCGCGGGAGCGCATCCTCCGCTTCCTGACTCTGCAAAATTGATAAGAGTCTGCTGCGTGCGTACGAGTCACATTCGTCAAGAGCGTCGATGACGATGACAATCGGCCCAGAGATCGCGAGCTGTGACGCAGGCTCTACGATGAAGCGCCGAAACTGCTCGCGAAGATCGTTCGATGTGGCAAGGGCGGAGTCCCGGGCGATGACCCGCGAAAGTTGAATTCGAATCTGAGGCTCACGTTCGGATAGGTCGCGGGCGATGGTGGCGAAAAAGGGGATAGCACGAGTAAGCTCGACGTTGGACCTGTCAAAGCAATACGAAGACCCCAAGCGAAGCATGTCGTAGAATATAGCTGCTATGGTATGAGCGATCGCCGACTTACCCGACCCCGCCGGCCCATAGAGCAGAAACACGCGACGAGCGTCAAGCGGATCGTTGATCCAGTCGGCTATGATCTGAAGAATTGTCTGACGGGTCCCTGGAATGCATCTCTTATCTCTGTTGAACCGAGAACCTCTGGCACAGGCGTCTTCCAACCGCTGCATCTTGACGTCCACGGCTGATGATAATCGACAGTCAGCGCGGCGAAAGACAAGCCGGCGGGTTCCTTACCGATCTCTTCGACGGTGTTCAAGACCCTGTGAACGACAAGATCGACGTTCGCTATGGCGATGGCTGTCCGTATCGTGGATCCTTCCAGCAGCTGCGACTTTAGTTCCGCGAACTTGGCTTGGTATTCCTTCACCATCGCTGGCGCCGCTTGGGTTGGATGGACGAGTTTCTTCAAGGCATTCGACGCCATTCGTGGTACTGTAATCAAGGTTACGGACACGGCGACGACGATGTGCAAGGGACCCGGAACGTACAGAAATCCTTGTTTTTCGCATAGTCGTGTATGAACCAGCCGCATTCGGTCGTCTGCTGAGCGAGTGCCGTGAGCAGCTTCGCCGCTGATTTGACGCTGTCCAGAGGCTGAGCCTGATCCATAAAGTCGTATACGTTCTCGAGGGTGTCGAGGAGGTCGCGGATGGATTGGTCGAGTTTGACCTGCCCGATGATGGTCTAAAGGTGGGATTCGTCAGGAGACACGTGTCGGACTGATATGTGTGACTTGCCTTCTGCACAATTGAGAGAACATTCCACGCCATGCTTGCATAGGGATGAATCTTTCGCCGTGGCCAGCATGAGTTCGGAATCACGAAAAATCCGAACCACGAATGATCACCTCGGCAATCTTGTCGACAAGCTCTGTGAACTGCTTAAGACGCCTGAACAACGATTCCCATTGCTTTGGTGACGAGGCCAGCCCTTGCGCCAGGTCTTTCCGTTCGTCGACTGCCGCCGCGCCTCGTTCCACCAGTGTATCAGATTGCATGGTGGCGACCTCTTTCTTGGCCTCATCAATGGCTCGCCGCGCGACGGTCTGCTCCGATGATCGATATCCTCCGGCTTCTGCGATTGCGCGACCTGAGTGTTTCTGTGTGTTACGGACATTAGGCAGTGACTTTGCTTGCCACAATGATGCAACTGTACAGTCAGATCATCCTGAGGCGAGCCGATGTCGTTAGTCCGCTGGTGTGGTTGAGAGGTTCCGGTCGCCTGCGGTTCGTCGACATCCTGGTCCAATAGTCCAGCGTT